TAGTTGTCAGACAATTTCTGCCCCAATATCGACCCTTATATCTGGCCACCTAACTCACAGTGCCACCCCCTTGATTATTATATGTGGGGCACAATATGAGCGACAGAACAACAAAATTACTTGTAACATCAAAGACGAACTAAAGGCAAGTATTATGAAGCATTCACCAACTTAAACAAGGAGACCGTCCAGAAGAGTTGCAGGAGATTCAGAAGTCGTCTTTATTGAATAAATTTGCTTCTTACAAATTCAAGAATTTTTTATGTAATTTTCCTAAATATATCAGTAAAATGAGATGTCAATTTTATTTTCAATTTTTCGTAATTTAGACAGCAATTACTCCATCCCAGCCTATACACACACACACACACATATGTGTGTGCGTGTGTATTTGTGTATGTGTGTTTATGTAAACAGATTTTGCCATTATAAACACACACACACACACACACACACACACATATATATATATATATATATATGATGGCAAATATCTCTGTATATATATATATATATATATATATGATGACAAAATATCTGTACATATATATATATATATATATATATATATATATATATATATATATATATATATATACAGAGATTTTGCCATCATATATATATAAGGCAAAATCTGTTTTCATGCTTGAATAAAATCTGATTGCTTTATTAGTCATTTAAACAGCCGCCATTTGTACAAAATGCCATGAATTTCGAAGTTTTTACCCTGATTTGACAGATACGGAAAAACCTTTAATAAAATCAAAGCTACATAAATAAATCTGCATATTGCAAATCCTGGGCAGATCCGGTGTAAGGAATCCTTAAGAATTTAACCGATCTGTGTCAGCAGAAATCTCCTGCACTAGAAATTAAGACATGTTCGAGTGATTTTTTTTTTCCTTACCTTAGAAAACAAATAAAATTCTCATTATTTCGGATATACACAATTGTATTATTTGTATCATTATTAGAAAATTTAAGCTATGAAATTTTTGACCTTATGGTTGAATTGAATTAATTAAAAGCACAAGACAATGCATTTTGTCTTTTGCAGTTGAGGTTTAATCCTTTCGTCTGCTTTCATTCCTTATTTTCTGTATTTTCTCTCAACATTGTGTCATCAGCATATCTCATGTTGTTAAGACTGAGGCAGCCGATAATGAATCCTGGTAAGACTTTTAACTCTCTCAGAATAGACTGGCTGTATAGGTTCAATATGTCCATTGACAAGACACAACCTTAGATACCTTTCACAGTATGGCGTCTCATTGTATGTTTAAAAGGTGGAGGAGATGTATTATAAAAGTCTTGAATCCTAACAATCCCTTCCTCTCTCTCTCTCTCTCTCTTTATATGTCGTGTCTCATCAGGACGTAAACGATCATGGCTCTCCACATTTTCCTGTCTCTTGAAGATCTAAATAAATTCTCTTTTCGTTATTTTTAAACCCTGTTCCGCCAAACATTTGCTTAAGCTTATTTAGTATGTTATCTGCATCCTTTCTCTGTTCCTCTTAATCTCAATCCGCCCTGTGAGTATCAGATATTCCGAGCCTTCTTACCTCATTATGTGCACTGCTTCTTCTTTATGTTAAATAAAAGTTTCCTTTTTGTTTCCATTTTCTCTAAACTTTAGTCGTTTCTGACATGTTCAGTCCACGGCATACTTCTGTAGAACCACAATTCTTTAGATTCAAATCTCCTCCTCATCTTGAGGAGATTGACAAATACTCATGGTAAACACGGGGACAGGTATCACGGAACAGTTTTTCTTGTTTCTATCGAATTTTTTCTATTTCTTGGTACTTGGCTTTTGGAAAGCATCTTTGGCTATCTCAATACGCCTTCGGTTGTAAGAGCTTTAATTCTGTCAGTGCAAAATTAGTGACAGAGTTAAAGCCCTGATAATGTAAAATGCATATGAACAATTCCATTACTATCTAGCGTATTCTAGAACCACAATTGTGTTGCTTCAAGTCTCTTGTTCATTTTTGAAAAAATTGTTCAGAATTCATTGCTATACAGTAGAAGAGATATCACGTAACTGTTCAGTACTTTTTCTTTGTTTCTAACGAAATAGTCCGTCTAAAAAAATTCTAAATTGATCTCATACTTCATATTTAGGCAGATTTATTTTTATTCAAATCGAATTTCTTTTCAACTGTTATTAGATTATTTCAGAATGTGGGTATCCTATATCGGGAATTCATACATGCATCGCAGGGCTTTCAAGTTGTTGCATGTCTGAGCGCGTATTTTCATAAACCACGCCCAGCAATAATGCACTCATTTCTTTTGGCTTTCCACGCCTCCCTTGTCAATAATTAGTTCACAGTGAATTTAAACCGTGGTGTGACGACAAGAAACGGGTTTTATCGAATTCTCGTGTCTTGAAAATCGATATATTAACACAGAAATTACAAAATGCTTGTTCTTTTCACTGGATAATCACATGCTTCGTTAAATTTTAAATACAAAAAAATAAAATAAAATAAACG